TACATAGTGATCAGGAGGAGCCGGGTTCAATTCCTTGCCTGCCCATATTTTTCTCGCAAACACTATTTGGCAATAAAGCTAAATATGACAACAAATTATTCAATTTGCATGACTACCCACATAGCTCAGTTGATTTGTACTATGTCAGCAATGTGAGCGATCGCTGGTTCGAATCCAGTATGTTTAGTTAGATTTTGAATGCTAGTGAAGACTCGCTGGGAACTCAAAGATCGCAAGTTCGAATCACGGATTGGACACTCCTACAAAAGACATGAAAGACGTTAAAAACATAAACAGCGGATTCAAAAATTCAAGTCAGAAAACAGAACACAAGAATACTACCTCACATGGAAGCCAGTCGAAGTCGACGAAGAACGAACACAGTAGACAGCTGTAGGTCACGTGCAACAACAGACACGAGGAGCATGTCTGCTCTCCAAATGAGTCCCTTCTTTTGTGATAAAGGCATGTTTGTGAACATTACGTAAATGGCTTACAATAAATTGATTTGTGCTTCTTTGTCATAGGAATACATGTATTGTGAGGTGAAATAACTCAGAGAATAATGCTTGGAATCGAATGAAACGAAAACGAACAAATACAGAAAATGGTTGTCTATCGATACAAACTAAATACGAATGAAAAATAATAACTATAATTAAACAACAACAAATATAATTGAATCGAGAAACACACATGTGGATAAGCATCCACGATACCCACATCGGCCGATTTACTCACACAAATTTATAAATTCAAAACTCCTATTTTCTACCCTCTCTTCTATCCCTATATCAAAATATAACGTAGAGGTTTTATGTCTTATCGGGGATTTCACCGGCAACTCCCCAGTCTCTCGCCAACTACACGTCGCTACGGTCCAGTACTGCCATTTGCCCCATATGCGCTGTCATACGCTCTCGACCAATGAAGCGGTAGCATTCAGAGTGTCGTCGTATTCAGCTAATGACACTACGGTATATTTTTAAGCTTTCACGATCAGCTCGACGTGGTTTCAAATCGTCAATATTGATGATTTAAATTTAAATGAAAAACAACAAAACTTTCACGCATATTGACGATATAAACAGGTAAAATTTATTTTTCGAAAATTATAAAATTTTTCAGCCAGTCCGACGTGGATGTGTTTAATCATCTATAATGTCGAGTTGAAATTAAATGAATTCAAGTTGGATATACCCACGTATTTAATGAAAAAAACAGCCCAACGCGGATTTAACTCTGATATTTAAAGGGCGGTAGTCATCGCGCCACGCATGCGCAAGATATATTGGTCTCATATAAACAAAGATGGCGACTTTGACTGTTCAAATGAGATCAACGAGTACAAATTGAGACGTTACCAAGTTTTAATTAGGAATTTTCAGGTGATTGGAATGTATCGAAGGAGTCGCCAGCGGTAATCAGTGCTAGTCGCGCCCAGGTCAAACCTCATACTTGTGATTTCTATTTGAAGAGCGCATTGGATTGTGGGAGAAATCAATGTTGATCAACACAAATGTCGCACATGCGCAGCGCGACGACTACCGCCCTTTAATATTACAGTATTTAAAAAAAAACGCTCACTGGCAACCCAGCGTAGATTTTAATCGGCAATATTGACGAATTAAATGCAATTGTATGTATTTTCACTTTAAAATACATTTAAATCAGATATATTGGATATAACTCTTTCCGTGACATATAATAAAAGTTGAATTTGTATACTCACTGGAAAGGGGATGTTTCTAAAATGATCATTGATGCGGAGCTGTTGAAATCTGAAAGTTACACTGTTATACGCATTGAGAGAGGAACAATTATCGACTCACAACATAAACACGTATTGCCTATTATCGCAAATTGTCAAGTACAAAAGGTAATATACATATTTTGACATTTCTCTAGGTTTCCCGAACAACAATGGGTTGTTAATGGTGATGAGGGACACGGCGAGTGAGGGCAACAGGTCATATATCATGTTAGTAGAAGATGACACACTAACGGCACTTCAGGTGATTTTTTTACTGTTGCTGTAATAGTATATGTAATACCACGGGACAGCGAGCTGTGAGGGCATAGTCTGAAACAATTGCGCTCTGTGAAGTTGTGAGGGCGTAGTCTGAAACAACTTCTCGCCGTCCCGTGGTGTTACTTGTACCACAGTCCCTCTAGAGGGACTGTGTTAGTACCTACTTCTACACTTGCTGCTTCAATTAAATGGATTTAAAATTGTAAACAAGGTCGAAATAATTCCCAAATTTTCAGCATTTTCAGTTTGGATCGAAGCATATATACAAAGCAGAATTTGGTACGTTGAAAATAACTGTCAACAAACAAACTCTCTGATGGTCTGAACGTAAGGTGTTAAAATTGGGTAGCCAATCAGGAACAATCTTCTATAAAGCTTCGCATTGACCACCATTTGTTGACATTGATCACCAGCAGCCAAGACCACGCCCGTTTTTCGATTTCATTACCTTAACTCTGCCCTCCCAGCAACAAATTAAAACGGGCCAGCTGGTTTGACGTTTGTAGCGGAGAATCGTCTTTTTATTTACTTCAGGAAATCATAATGGCCGCTATACCTTTAATTTTGAGTTCGTATTAAAAAAGTATTTCATTGTTAAGTGCATTTATTTTGCTCTTTGTTGATATAAACTCATCGCCACCAATTGATATATTATTTTACAGAATACTGGTGAAATAGCTGTAGATTTGGTTCTCACTGAATACGATTCTTACAAACGAGGCATAGGATTTGACTATCACGATAGGCTGATATTTTGGAATGATGTTCAGAAGCATGGTGTTTACAAGATGTCGGACGATGATCACGTGACGACAGTGTATGGGGCAACTTCTTATAATGTAGATGCCCTAGACGTGGATTGGGTTAACAAGAAAATATACTGGACTGATTCATCATATAATTGGATAATGGTGTCAGATTATAATGGAATGTACACACATCCAATTATTGTCAATGACATTGACTGGCCCCGAGGAATTGCTGTACATCCGGGTCAAGGGTAAGTACCCGCCGTATGTGGAGATTCTTAACTAAATATGGATGCATTTAGCAAGATCATCCAATATTTTTCAGAAACTACTGCTCAACAAAAATGGCTACGCAATGCATGATTTACATACAAAATCTTACACGTAATATTTTACTTCAACTGTTTCGATTGATCAATGCGCGCTCAAAAATGTGAATCCGTGGTCGTATTGGTAAGTACCTGGGTTTGTATTAACTTGATAATGTAAACACACACCTTTCTTTTTATGTGATAGTCTTCAGCTGAAATTGAAACGTTCTTATGTTCCAGGTACCTGTACTGGTGCGACCTGGGAGATAATCCGAAAATTGAGATGGCTAAGCTGAATGGTGAAGATAGACAAATAATAGTCGATGAAGAGCATAGTGGCGCTGACGTCATTCATACGCCACATGGTCTGGCCATCGACTTCCAGGAAAACAAGTGAGGATTAATATGCGGAGTGCATGACGTCATAGGGTTATTAATTGTATGTATGTATGCATGTATGTATGTATGTATGTTTGTAATGTGTCCAACAAGACCTGGTCACAATTTTGGGGCCAAATTGTCAAAGGTTATGGTCACGGTATGTGTTTATGTAAGTAAGTAAGTAAGTAAGTAATTCTTTATTGCTATCGTATCCCATTTGAGATCTTGACATAAAATACAATAAACTCAAAAACATGTAATAATAAAAATAAATGACATACATACCTTATGTATGTAAGGTATAGAATAACATTGCGAAAAATAGGTACGGCCTTCAAACTTGACACACATGTTCACTGTGTGACCCCAATAACTAGTTACAATGCAAGAACAACGGTTCCAAGGTCAAGGTAGTCCAACTGAACACTAGGTCTAGCCTTTCAGTTCTACACACATGTGAACCACAATTACCTCGTTACATATTTGAGACAAAGGTCAAGGTCATACTTAGTGTGTATGTAAGTTCGTAACACAATTGGAGGGGGTACCACCTTCAAACTTTACACCGTACGTTTCTCATACGACTCGCAAGATCCAGTTAGATTTTCAGATCAAAACGTCAATGTTGATTGTCACAGTATATGTGTTTGTCTGTTCTCAATATAATAGCACGGTTAAATAGCTGATGGGTTAAAACTGAACGTTACCCATGTGATCCACAAGATCTCGTCACATTTCAAGGTCAAAAGTAAATGTCACAGGTCACCACAACCATGCAACCATAACACCTACATTATTTTA